TAGACCACCTTCCTTCATGTTTTTTTCATTGATTTCCTTGATATTCTTGAACTTTTGAGCTTCCAGATGAATTTTATTAATATTTTTCCTATGTAATAAAATGCTTTTTTGATGTTTTGTTTAACACAGCACTGAATAAGTAAGTTAATTTAGGTAGAATTGTCATTTTTATTATATTGGCTTGGCCTACCCATGAACAATTAATATTTTTCAGATTGTTTATTTGTGTGAAAAGTGTTTTGTAACTGTGTTCATGTAATTCCTGGGTCTATCTTGGCAGGTAGACTCACATGTTTTATATTGTCTGCAGTTATTTTAAGTGGAATTTCCCTTTCCATCTCTTCCTGTTGGACTTTGTTGTAATACATTATGTAGAAATGCTGATGACTTATGTGAGTTAATTTTATATGCCATAACTTTGCTGAAGTTGTTAATTATTTCAACAAATATTTTAGTTGATTCTCTAGGATTCTCTAAGTATGTCATCATATTTTCTGAAAAGTGATAATTTTGTTTCCTGATTGCCTATTCTAATTCCTTCAATTTGTTTTTCTTCTCTTAATTGTCATAGCTAGCATTTCTAGTACAATATTGAATAGTAGTGATGATGATGGGCGTTGTTGCTTCACCCCTGATCTTATTGGGAAGGCTCCTAGCTTATCTCCCTTACAGATAATGCTTGCTGATGGTTTAGATAGATAATACGTAGGATTTTAAAGAAAGCTCCATTCCTATGCTTTCTAATGTTTTAATCAGAATGCTGCATTAGTCAAAAGCTTTTTATGCATCTGTTGAAATAATCATATGATTTTGTTGGTTTTGTTATTTATATGCTCAATTATGCACGTAGTTTTCCTAATATTGAACCAGCCCTGCATTTCTGGTATAAATCACACCTGGTCATAGTGTATGACCTTTGCAATATATTGCTGTAATCTCTTTGCTAGTATTTTATTGAAAATTTTTCCATCAGTATTCATTAGGGAAATTGGCATTTCTTTCTCTGTTTTTGCTCTTACTAGTTTAGGTATCAGCCTCATATTTGTATCATAAAAGTTATTTGGTCAGACTCCGTCATTTGCCTCTTTTTTCCTAGTAGTTTATGTAGTATTGGAATTAATTGTACTTCAGTTATTTGGTAGAATTCACTTGTGAATCCAATTAGTCTTGGGATTTTTTTTTCAGGCAGATCAGTTATGGCTTGTTCAATTTCTTCTCCTAAGATAGGGTTATTTAAATATTCTATTTCTTTTGTTAATCTGGACAATTTGTATTTTTGTAAATCTTGTTCTTTTCATTTAATTTTTCAGATTTATTGGCATATAATTGGTCAAAATAAGCTCCTAATATTTGCTCTAATTTGCTCTTTGTTGGTGAATTCACCTTTTTCATTTTTGATGATGGTAATTTGGTTTTTTTTAAAACAAATTAAGGAATATTTTGTCTGTTTTATTGGTTTTTCATCAAACCAGCTCCTAGTTTTATTTATTAGTTCAATGGTTTTCTTACTCTGAATTTTAATTGTTCCATGTGGGGGGGTTGGGGGGGTTCAAGTATATTTCTTGTAAACAACATATTGTTGGATTCTGGTTTTTAATCTACTCTGCTATCCACTTCCATTTTATGGGTGAGCTTATCCCTTTCACATTCACAGTTATGATATGTAACTGTGTATTTCCCTCCATCCTGTTTCCCCCCTGTTTATCTTTCTCTCTCTCCCTCCTCAAAAATCCATTTTGCTTTTGACCACCACCTCCCCCAGTCTCTCTGTTCTGTCAAAATCTCCCCCACCTTCTGTGATCTCCCTCCCCTCATACTTCCTATAGTACAAGATAGATTTCTGTACCCAACTGAGTGTGTATGTTATTCCTTCTTTGAGCCAGTTCCAATGAGAGTAAGGTTCAAGGGTTAATCCCACCTGACCATCTTTCCCTGCTCTGTAAAAGCTCTTCCTTTTGTGCCTCTTTTATGTGACATAATTCACTCCATTCTGTCTCTCCCTTCCCTCTTTTCCCAGTGCATCCTTCTTTCTCACCCCTTAATTTTAGTTTTTTGAAATTATCCCATCATAGTCAACTCACACCTGTGCCCTCTGTCTATGTACACTCCTAATTGCCCTTCTTACCCTTGGACTAGGACCCAGAACTGCATGTGGGCAATGAAACAGAGTCCTCCCCCCAGGAGCAGCAGAAGGTCCCCTGTAATCTCCTTCGACCAGTTGTCTGATTCCCTTACCATCTGTGGGTTGAGGGTTTAGAGCTCCTGAAGTCGTCTGATGCGCTGCCTCTGAGGCTGGCTGCTGGCTTGCCAGGGTATGACCTGCACTGCGCTGTGTTTCAGGCCTGACCACCACCCTGATGAGAGAGACCTTTCTTGCAGACCTCCTAAATTGTCTTGGGCAGGAACATTGTTGCATTCTCGACCTTTTGTTGGTTCTGCCACTCCAGAATTTGATATAAGGCATTATTTTAAAGATGTTTGGAGGGGAATTTGAGAGATTTCAGGTTGAGTCCCTCCTGCTAGTCTGCCATTTTATCTCCCCTCACCAATTTATTTAGCACTTAATATTTTTGAACGGATTGCTTTCATGTTCTATATTTTATTCCATCCTCTATACAACATTGTGAATGAATGAGTGATTGAAAGAAAAATAATTTAGTAAGCATTTGCTATGTGCCAGGCACTGTGCTTGTGCTAAGCACTAGGAACCCAAATACAAGGAAGCAAGATGGTACTTACATTCAAAGAGATTACATTCTAAAGGTAGAAGACAACACATACAGGGGAGCCAGCAAAGGCTGGGGCTGAGCTGGAAGAGATATGGCACCAGCCTGGTTTGGAAGTGATTTGGAGGTCTGGTTCTAGACAAAATAAAATCAAAAGGAGGTCAGGTATTTTTAGTCAGTCCCATTTTATGGATGAGGAATTTTGCCTCAGAGAGGTTCAAAGTAATTTCCCCAATGTCATTCTGTTAGACAGTGGCAAAGATAATTTTAGGACCTGTGCCGTGTTTTTCCCAGTTCATTGCTTTTTTCATTTGGTCTTGTTGCTGACTGCTAGCAAACTTCCTTGAGTTTTTAACTCAATTATTTACTTATATTTATGTGGAAATTGGTCTTTTATACCTGCAATGAGTTAAATATAATAAAATCATATCCCTCAAATACCTACAATTTGGGGGTTTTTTAATGGCAGGAATACAGTGGAGATTTTCCTTATCTTATGTTGCATAGTCGTATTTACTAGCGTAGTTAGAATTTACATACTTTTATTCATAAAGGAGTTTTCCCCTGTTTTAATTTAAAACACTTGGCTGACTCAGATGATTAATCGAATTAGTGACCCTGCTGGATATTTGTAAGCCCAGCCTTTTAGCACTTCTTAATTTATACCATGTAGTATAAGGCTATTCCTAATTGTTAATCAGCAAACATTTGTTAAGTATCAACTGTGGGCCAATCCCTGTGTTAGGCCCCTGACACAAATAGACATGTTAAATAGTTTTCTACTCACTAAGAGATTACTTTCTACAAAGGAACCTCCCTGGGCCACTTAAGGCGAAATTTAGGCATGCTATATGGGCATAATCAATAAGCATTTATTAGTTATTATTATTTACATGTGCTATAGTTAGTGCAATATATATTAAAAGAAGTGAGAAGTTCTTGCCCTTCAGGTAGTTTACACTTTATTAGGGGATAAAATGACAGATAAAAAACGTGTATGTATAAGTATGTATGTGTGTGTGTGCATAAATATGTATATGTATACACATACTAAAATATATACAATTTTAGCTTTTGTGGGAAGAGGGCAAGCAGTTGGAAAAGTCAGGAAAAGCTTTGTATTAGAAGTGGCATTTGATGTGAGTACTGAGGGGAGCTAGAGATATTCTAAAAGGTAGTGGTGAGGAGAAGAGCATTTCAGGGTTGGGAGATGGGTTGTGTGCAAAAGCTCAGAAATAGGAGATTTAAGGAGATGTTATTTGTGAGATCGAGCAACAAGGTTAGTTTGACGGGCCCACACTGCATGTAACGTGTACCATTAACAGCATATGTGTATGTGTTTTAAACTAGACAAATAGGAGATGTTTAGAGCCTTTAGAAGAAGAGAATGACATGGTCAGACCTGTGCTTTAGAAATATTGCTTTAGAGGCCAGATTAGAGAGAGAGAGATGGGAAGCAGGGAACTGTTTTCATCTCCATTCATTAGATTTACACATGCAACAGGAAATAGCTTGGCTGAAAATTTTCTTTACACCTCTGTGCTTCTCAGGTGAGAGGTTATGGAAGGCAACCCCAGGAATGCCAGCACTCAGGAAAGATTAGAGCTTTCACCTGGTCATTTGTGCAGTTTGATATTTTTTTTTCTTCTGGCCTCAGCATAAATTAACTCAGCTTTCATTACTACTCCATCCTAAATAATGAAACATGGCATTCCCATTATGGGGGAATTTATATTATAAATATGCTTATAGGTGTAAAGGCCCAAGTTCAACTAGCAAGTGAATGACAATGGTGTTTTATGTTTTGTTCTTGCCTTTTTAATCCTGTCCTCTAATGTGGTGCCATTCTTGTAATAAGCTTTTGGATTGGTGGTCGAATGACTGATGAATGAAAGTAGCATGAGAACTCCAGTCCCTAATCTGCTGAGCTATATATTCTGCTGCCACTTGGGAATCACCAAAGGTTCGGCCCACAGCTCTCAGGGTTTTAAGATAGGCACCCATGTTTCTGAGAAACAAGGGCTTTGTTCTAAAAACAAGTCAATTAATGTTCATTTTAATTTAAAACCTATCCAGAGGCCCTGACATACTGGAGGACTGCAAATGATAAGATACTGGAACTTCCCAATCACGGGAAGAATCTTTGTCTAAATTAAAACATCATGCTGTTTATACCAGAATTTCATTATTAAACATTGCTTCTAAAGTTTGATATTATGTATGGATTGTTTTGATTTTCTGGTATTTTTACATCTTGTAAAATTTCTCTTTCAGAGAACAGAAGTAACCAATAAAGCAGTTGAAGGTCTTCTTACAAAATGCACTGAGTATCTTCAGCCAAATCCAGGTAAAGTTAGGAAATGTAACATTTCATCTAACATCAAAGAATGTTGCAAGCTTTTTTTTTTTTAAATCAGCACACCATGAGTACATTATAGATTGAGAGCTGGAAGAAATTTTAGAGGTCATCTGGTTCACTTCTATCGTGGATTAGGAGACTGAAGTCTTGCCTAAGGTCACACATAGGAGGGCCAGGGTTTGAATCCAGGTCTTTGAACTCCAAACTGAGTGCTCTTTCCAATGTAATTATTGCACTGCTTTTCTTTGCTAAGGTTTCCTAAGCAAGGTATTTTGTGTTCCAAGTATTTGATAAAAAGTTTAGAATTCTCTTCATGCAGAGTAATTTCAGAGAATATGCTAGTCAGATGAGAAACTTGGCAAATGCCTAAATTTTGCATCCTCTTTTTGACAGGGCTTCTTTGACTTATCTGCCAAGTAGCATGTAACAACACAATGAAGCAAAGGTATTTTTATTGAAAGATTTTAAAGAGAGGATAAAAGCTCTGTATTCAAGCTTGTTTCCTGTCAATGAGCTGCATTTGCTGAAGTCCTGAGTCAAAGGGATTCCGAAGCGATAAAGGCTCACATGCCAAGAGGTTTATACCCATGATCAAGGCTTCAAGAAATTGCCACTTGGCAAGGCAGATAACTGATCTTGGTTAGAGTATGGTCTAAAATAATAGTAAACCAATTGAATAAAGGCTTAAGGAGATTTTCTTGCCTTAAATGAATTCCTTTACTTAAGTTCATGAGTTTAGTACCTATAATTTAGTAGTATGATCTTTTTCTGTTTACTAAAACTCTTATTTCCCTTTACTTCCTGGCTCTCACCTGTGTTCTGTATAGGTGAGATTTTTTTTTTTCAGATATAAATTACTTTGGGTCAAGTGAAGTGCCATTAAATAACATCCCCAGCAACAAGTTTCTTCCACTAGAAATGTGTATGCCAAAGTTACTGCTTTGCTGGTTGATATCCATGCTCTTATCACCCCTTACCTGGACACCTTTAATAGCTTCATAGGTGGTTTTTCTACCTACAGTTCATCTCCTTTACTAGGCCTGGAACAATCTTCCTAAAACATTCTTTTGCTCAAAAACTTCCATTAGGCCTCTTGACAGGATAAAATACAAACTAGAATTCAAAGACTTTCAGTCTAGATTTCCAAATTTTTGTCCAACCACTGTCATATATTAATCCTTTGTTCTATCCATATTAGTCGCCCGCCCACTTTCCATTCTCCATACTTTTATTTATCCTCCTTTCCCTGTCTACAGTTCTCTTTTCTATCCTTTTCATGTTTTTAAGCTCCATTCTTCTTTTGTGACTTATATTCCAACTTAGTCCATTAAAGCCTCTTTCACTATTCCAGCCCACAGTGACCTCTTCTGATTTCTTAATTTTAACGATTTATTCTTATTGTATTCTTAATAGTGTATGTGTGGTGGGGGGAGACACTCTTAAAGTAACAAGACTGGTTTCCATCTCTCTCTCTCTCTCACACACACACACACACACACACAGACATTCTCTCTCTCTCTCTCTCTCTCTCTCTCTCTCTCTCTCTCTCTCATATGTTCTAAGCATTCTACCTTTGCAGTTTCTACCTCCACCTTCAGGGTAGAAACTATGACTTTACTAATGCTAGACACCAAGGCCACTGTAGATTAGGTGCTCAATAAATATTTTTTGTTTTCACGATGATGACAAATCAGACTGAGACTTGTGCAGGGCCTTGAGTTCCAGTATCTTGCCTCTGACATGTGAAAAAAAGGCCAAAAGCACAGTGTTTTGATATCAAGTAGGAAGATGGTTACAGGAAGTTGCGAGCTTACCGAAATCTTAAAAATCTACAACCAGGACATACTGTTATACAGAGTCGCCACTTATTCTTGGTTTCGATCCCCAAATTTAACATGACTCACTTTTTTCCCTTTTTTAAAAAATTTTTTTCCAATTACATGTAGAAACAATTTTTGACATTAGTTTATAAAAAAATTTGAGTTCCAAATACTGTCCTTCCGTTTCTCCCTTCCCCATCTCTGAGAAGGCAAGCAATTTAATATAGACTATATATGTGCAGTCATGCAAAACATTTCAACATGGTTCACTTTCCTTTTTTTTTTTTGCATTAAAACATTTTCTCAGCTATAGTCTTTTACTTGCACTAGAGACAAAAGAACATTGCATTTTTTTTTTCATTTAAACAAGGTTTATCTAAATTAGTGTTCAGGTCCACAGAGGTGAGGAGGTAAAAGGAGTGAAGGAAGAAAGGATAACTATGTCTGTTGCTTGAGTGTGGTGTTTAATGGAACATTGTTCACTTTCAAGTGATTTGCAATTTTACTTTAAATTTTTTCTTTAAAAGTAAATACATGCTGGTGGGTACTTAGTGAAATTATGCAATATTACTGAGTTAAATTCATCTCATTTTAATGTCAGCAGGAAACCCTTTCTGTCCATGGGTCTTAGTTGCTAGCTTTGATTGATGCATTTCACTAGCACATGATTTTTTGTTTTGTTTTGCTTTTTTGAAGAATAGGCGTTAGGAGGGGAATATATATATTGAAACTTGCCAGTGGTCACTGGGTTGGGCCTTGAATATGTATGTTTTCTGACCTTGTATAAATATGCTTGCTTAGCCCTTAGCTTAGTCAAGAATCCAAAGTTTTACAACTTGAGTTTAAAAAGGTTAAGAAAGAACGACCTCCATTTACATATGTGAGCTTTTGCCCATCTTTTCATCTCTTGATGTACTTAAGTCATAAAGTGGCCTTCCAATGTGGTGCTGTAACTGTATTTGCTTTATGTCATGCATTCTGCCTTTTTAAGTTTAAAGAATTACAAATGATCATATTTTTAAGCATACAGAATGAAGCTAGGAATGCAGAATACCATGTCCAAGATCACAGGGCAGATGGGAACCACAGGATACCCACAGCCTGAAGGGTTATTAGGAGATTCTATGCTGCGATATGGGGCAGAGCTTGGAGAAGACTCTATGTTTGGTGAGTGTATGCCAGGTACTTTTGAATATCTCAGTTTATCTTATCCTGGAAAAGATAGTATGTTATTGCTTTTAAATTAATGCACACAAATTTGAAAGCCTGAGGAGTAGCAAAATAGATTTTGAAAGCTCATCAATATAGTATATTATCTTTAGAGTTTATGGGGGATGCAGGTAAGGAATGCAAGGTAACATACTTTGTTGTTAACAATTTTTATTTGTTGATTTTTAATGATGTTCACATATTTTTAACATGCTAGCAAAACTAAAGGCACAAAACTTAAGGGTGGCAAAATTTCCCACCATGGACTGGGATAGTATGGTTCATACAGATTTCTTAACCCTGTGGTCTCCCAAGCAGGGTGTACAAACCCCATGGTGTATGCACAAGATATGCTAGACAAGTCATGGGAATGTGGGAGGTCAATATTAGAAATTCTATTTATTTTTAAATCTTGAAAACATTGAATATATGGATTGACACTGGTGCCCTCATTCAGTTTCCCTGTCTGATGGTTATGTGGCTTATTAACCCTCCTTTCCCTCTCAGTGGCTTTGGAAACTGGGAGGAGGAATGTAATGCATGGGAGATCCTTGGTAATTCATGGAGGGGCTGAGCGTGCTTAGAAGGTGGGGCTGGTTTGGGTTATAAATAGCAAACTTTTTATACTGCCTAGATTCCATATTCATGTGTTCAAATGATTCAGGTAATTTTATAAACCTGGCCTGGCCCCTTATTAAGCAGGATTGTTGCTATCCATCTCTGCCTGCCTCAGTGGTTGAAGGAAGAAATCTGAATCTAGCATGGTTTTCTGGTCAGAGGTAGATGGGATTGGCTCCACATACAGCTCAGGCAGGCTTCCGGTCGTTTGGCACCCCGAGCCCTCTGAAGAAGGCATGATCTGTCCTTTGGCTGATTTGTGGCAGCAAGGTTCTAAGGAGTTGTGTCTGATTTGAGGGGAGAAGGAAGGGCTTGTGAAGTTTCTGGATAGGAACTACATTATGAAAGCACGGCTTCCTTGGGTACATCCTATCTTGATCACTCGTCACTCTCCTTCTCTCTCCCTCGGTCTGCTCAGGCTTTTATTCAGCACCTACTGTTATGTGTCAGGTACCTCAGCTTCAAAGACAAAAGCAAAACAATTCCCTGGGGTTTACTTGGGGAGGAGGACAAAGATCCATTTTAGCTACAGATGACCCTAAAGGACTCAAAAAAGCGAAGAGCTTCTCATCATGACATAGGGCAGTGTGGTTTGTACTCAATGATAAGCTAATGGTCTCCAGTGAAGTAAAGTGTATGAGATGTGATCCATGTTGGTGTGGGAAGAAAACAAGAGAATTTCTACTTCAGATTCGTTTTTAATCCTAAAGAAGAAATTAAGGTTTGCTGACATTGAATATATAGATTGATCCTAGTGCCCTCACTTAATCTCCATATGTCATGCAATCATGTGTCACGTTAGCTCCCCCCCCTTATTTCTGGATATATGAACACAGCTAAGGACTGTGCATAATAGAGAAGAGAATATAAAAAGATAGATGCTTCAATTTTACCTTCTAATTTTTGGGTGGAGAGGAGGTTGGAGATGGAGTAATAACACCAGAAGCACTCTAAAAAAGCCTCTTATAGAAAAGTGGTACTCCTAAAGGATTAAGTGCTTTTTTTTTTGTTTTAAGATTTAGGGATTATGATATGGCAAATAAAAACAATACTCCCTACCAACAACTATATTACCTTTAAAAATAAGTCTTTTGTAGGGAATTATAGTCTGTAGATTCTTCCCATTTCAGCTATGACAGCCATTAAAACTCAGTGATGAAATAAACCTTGAACCTGAATTTGTAATTGCTACATCACAATATATTATTACCCATAGTCATATTGATTTTATAAAATTATTATCTTTTTAGTATGAGAAAAAGTTTTAATGTTAATAAATAAAATTGAAATTATTTTTAAAATTTCATCTTCATCTTGTTCTTTAAAAATTTTTATTTTTCATTTTTATTTTATGGTATATGTATAACATTGGTAATTAGTAAATATATATGATTTACAAATTAATGTATGTGTTTTGAGCATATTTCCTCAAAAAATGTTTTGTTGATAGTGGTATGTGGTTAAGAAAAGTTTGAGGACCACTGCCTTAGAGCTTATGAGCACTAAAATCCTAATAAACTTAATTGCATTTGAAGCATGGGAAAGAAGCATCATGTTCAAGAGGGGAAACACTTGAAAAATACAGACTGCTCCCTATTTCCATTTTGTGTTCCTCTCTCACTGACTGGACATAAATCATGAGATAGAAGAGGTTATCTTTCTTCCATTTGGAAAAGAGAGAAAGATTGCAGAAAGTTCATAGGATTTAGAGCTAGGAGGATCTTAAAGAATAATCAATCAATAATAACCACCCAGTGTGTGTCAAACACTTTTTTAAGCACTAGGATACAAAGAAAGTTAAAAAGACAGTCTTTGTTCTCAAGGCACTCAAAGTCTAAGGGGGCAAAAATGTACAAACAACTACATTAGACTAGCCATGTACAGAATAGATTGGAGCTAATCACACAGAGGGAAGGAACTGAGGAAGATTGGGAAAGGCTTCCTATAGAACTTGAGATTTTAGCTGGACTTGAAGGAAGCCATCAAATTCAGCACTGCCATTTTGTAGAACTAGAAGATGAGGCTCAGAGATCAACTGACTCACTGGATGTCCCACACCAGGGAGTAACTGTTGGAACCATTATTCAAACCCAGGTCTTCTGACTATACATCCTGTTCTTTCTGTAACTCTATTCTTTTTTTTTCTTTTTCTTTTTAGGCAGTTGGGGTCAAGTGGCTTGCTCAGAGTCACAGAGCTCATAAGTGTCAAGTGTTTGGTCTGAGGCCAGATTTGAACTCAGGTCCTCCTGACTTCAGGTCCGGTGCTCTATCCACTGCACCACCTAGATGCCCCTCTGTAACTCTATTTTGCCTCTTTAAGAGAAGGAAATTTAGCCTCCCAGTAAAAAGTCAGCTGTGGGTTGTTTATAATGGAGAAATAAGCAAGTTTTGGATTTAAATATGAACTGAGATCTATTAGGGGAACACAGACAGGAAAACAACACTTTTTGCACTCAACTGTAGAGAGGGAAGGGCACCAAGGGAAGAAAATTAAGGGAAGAAAAGAGGAGTCACTGACCTAATCGAGATAAGACACCTTCTTACAGTGAAGAAGAGAGCAGGTTAAAGCTGGTTGTGAAGAAGAAAGGAAGAATGAGGCCTTTATACTTCCAGGAAGGGTTTGGACACACACATTTGCAAATTAATCTGGTTTTAGCTATAGCAGGCCTTTGGGGCCTTGGGAGTCAGATGAGAAGTGGGCTCCCTTTCCCATTAATTGAGGAAAGGCTTATTTCAAGAACTGGCACTGATGTCCAATGAACAATTTCCATTTTGACTCCTGCAGGGCAAACCTGAGAAGAAGGAGAATTGGTCCCTAAAGGGAGAGAGTACAGGTTTGCTCACAAACATCAGCTGCACAGAAGCTGAGGTTGTAAGTTTAAGTATACATATCCAGATGAACATTGGACAACATGTAGGCTGTTTCAAAATGCTTCATGCAGTTTTAGTCTTTTGAAACACTCTGTATAATGGAGGGAAAGAATGTTAACAAATTAAAAGCACTTGTTTGACCTTTGTGTTTTGTAAATTTGCCAGTTGCTTTGTTTAATTTATAGTCATTTTTGGATATGCTATCCCTCTATCCCTTACAATATCACCAGCAGATGAGGCCTTTCTTGTACAAACATTCAAATAGATATGTGATGTCACATATGGGAGTCCCCTCCACAGATACAAATCACAGCTTAGCCTTTGCTTATCCTGTGCAACTCCTGTCCATGTTCTTCTGAAAACTCACCACCAGGTAGTCCAGTGTGCTGGAGTCCTGCCTTCTCTCTTCCTGACATCACAAAGGCATAGGTGGAGCAGTCATGCTGTCCATTCTTTCATCGTCTGTTTTTGCTGTGTAGTCAGTGCATGCTTTGTGTCATGTAATTCTTTGATGACATTCTGTACTTCTCTTCCCCAGAGTTCCTTGGTGGTTAAATGCTGTAGCCTGCTCACACCCGCCATGTAACCCTTATTTGTCTTTCTGTGTGACACTTATTGTAAGGTGTTTTTTTTTTTCAGTGATATAAGTCTTGAAGCCATAGGGCAACACTGGTAAAATGTTAGTATTGAAAAGAAGGGCCTTTGCTTTCATGGAAAGCTTGGAGTTAGTTAAAGAGCTTTGTGGTTTCTCAAAAGCAATTGAGCCTACTCTCTTCCTTCCTTTTCAACTCTGGAACCATCTATACTGTTTGGCCCAAATATACTTAGCATTAGATACGATCTGTTGAATATGCACAAATTCATATTGAGATCTGGGCAACAGACAGTTTTTTTAAAATTAAATTTTATTTTTTCAAGTCATAAAGCACTTTTTTCCTCTTTTCCTCTTTCCACTAAAACAAAAAGGAAAAACAAAGTGCTTATAACAAGTAAGCATTGTCAAACAAAACAAATTCCCAAGTTGGCCATGTCTAAAAATGTATGTCTCATTCTACATGATAGTCTGTCTGGATGTAGTAGTCCAGACATCATTCTGATGGAATCATGATTAATCATTGCATTGCTTAGAATTCTTAAGCCATTCAAAATTGTTTTCACATTGTGGATGATGTAGTATATTTTTTTCCTCCTGGTTCTTCTAACTTTTTTCTGTATCAGTCCATTTAGGTCTTCCCCAGTTTTTCTGAAACTGTCTCTTCATTTCTTACAGCATGTTGTCATTTCATTAATTCTTATACCATAATTTGTTAAATCTTTTCTAAATTGATGGACACTCCCTTAGCTACTATAAATATTTTTGTATATATAAGACTTTTCCTTCTTTCTATGATCCCATTAGAGCATAGATCTAATAGTAGTGTTGTTGATTCATAGGGTACACACATATCAGTAACTTTGGGGACATAATT